ATTGTGCTGCCATCTGTGTTGAATCGATTGAAAACAGAATTACCACATTTGTTTTGAAAGTTCGAACGCGTTTTGTGAGATCTGTTCTATTGAGACACCTGTTTTGATTTGACATTTGCATTGCTATACGATTCTGCTACAAATGTAAGTAAAACACTGTTTTTATTATAATAACGTTCTCTTATTTTGTATATTTCTGCAAGAACTATCTAATATTGAATAATAAATAATGGGTGAAAAGTGAAAATGCTATTGCATCGTGTATAAAAGCCACGTGCAATAGGTATGTTGGAAAAATTAGAATATTTTTGAACATACATTTGAAAATAACATTCAATTCTACTGAGAAAGAAAAGGATTATTTTGGCATGATTTTTACCGAGGAAATTTTACAGAATATTGTTGACGAAACTCATATGCAAAGCAGCCTAAGAAAAGGAAGAGATTGGGTCATACCACAAAAGACATTATCCTGAACTGGAAAGAAATCACATCAGAAGAATTGAAAGCATGGGTAGGTATGCATATACTCATGGGTATACATCAATTGCCTGAACTGAAATACTGGAGAACAGACCCTGTTCTCAGTGTTCAATCAGTAGCAAGAATAATAATCGCAAAGAGGTTCAAAAAAGTAACTGAGATTTTACATGTAAATGATAACAGCACAAATCCATGTGGGCAACTTGGGCATGATAAACTCGATAAAGTCAGACCAATCCTCTCACAGCTCAATGATTCCATACCTAAAGTCTACGAACCTTCGTCAACATTATGAATAGATGAATGTATGATAGCTTTCAAAGGGAGAACTTCATTGAAGCAGTAGATGCCAATGAAGCCTATAAAAAGAGGTTACAAGGTGTAGTGTTTAGCAGACTCTAAGAGTGGATATATTCAAAAATTTGAAATTTATTGTGGAAAAGAAACTTCTGATAATAAGGGTAAAATATTGAGCTTAGGGGAAACAAACTAAACTAACGGAAGATGTGAAACAGGCAGGACATCTTATAGCCTACAATAACTATTTGACATCTTTTTTAGGCTTGCAAAAAGTCTACTTATAAGTGGTCTGTTTTCTGTGGGGACTGTGAGGCCGCAAAGGAAGGATCTTCCACCAATGCTGAAGGCTAATAACAAACTAAATACAAAGAGGGGAGGCTCCTAACTAAGGAAGGTGTTGCTGTAATAAAGTGGATGGACAAAAAGGCTGTTACATTGTTGACTACTGCACACAATTCAGGGATTATTACATCTGTAAATCGTACACAAAAGGATGGTACTAAAACAGAAGTACCTTGCCCTAAAGCTGTTGCCGTATATAATGATATCGTGGGGGGGGGTTGATTGCTTCGATCAAAGAAAAGAAAGATACCAAATAGGAAGAAGATCTGTAGAATGGTGGCATCGTATTTTTGATTTTCTTATTGATCTTGGCATCGTAAATAGTTTTATACTGTGGCAAGTAAACAAGAGAAACAGAAGTTTAGACCACCTAACATTCCATATAGCATTAGCTCGTCAACAAATAGACGGATATTCCTCGAAAAAGGAAAGGCCGTCCTGCTAGCTTCCAAGCATAAAGGTGTGCGATTCCGGATGATATACGCTTAGCCAATGTGGGAAATCATATACCAAAGATGGTTTCCAACTATAGACGATGTAGGAAATGTAGCACAAAGGCCCAAGAAAAGAGGACCCGCTATATGTGTGCGGTATGTGATGTACCCTTGTGCATTGCAATATGTTTCTCATCTTTTCACGGCAAATAATCGCCTTTAAATTGAATTTTCTCTATGACCATAAAAGGTCCTTACTTCCCACCCCTAGAATTTAAATGTAAAGAAAAAATTTGGCAAAAGGTCCTGTGGGAAGTATACTTCCCACCCCTAGAATTTAAATGTAAACAAAAAATTTGGCAAAATAAAATATATTTCCTTAAATGCTATTGTTTAGTTGATAATAAAACATAAAAAAAAAAAAAAAAAAAAAAAAAAAAAAAAAAAAAAAAACGGGAGAAATTCAAAAGAGAAATAAATGGCCCATGAAAGGGTTAAACTAAACCTTGATTCATCAGTGAAGAGAGTATGTGACCACTTGTATTCACTCCAGTTCCGATGTTCCTTGCACCCATTAAAGTGATCCCACTTTTGCTGTGGAGACAGTGAAGTCATTATCTTGGCTTTCTGGCATAAAGGCCTTTTTCATTTAGCCTTCTGCTGAACGGTAGACTCCCTGTTACAATGGGCAGTTATTGCCAGATACCGATCTTGAAAAGCAGCTATTATTTTTTTACGGCTTGTCCAGGCCTCTTTACAATGGTTTCAGAGTTCCGAAATTATTTCCATAGCTTAGAGATTGTCTTGAAATATTCGCACATCTCACTGCTTCAATGATTATCTGCCCTGCTTCTGAATGGCTGATGATTTGCCACCTCACAGATTCTTCCAAATAACACTTCAGAGCCATAATAAACTGTTTACTGTCAGGTGACATAATGCCTTGATTTGTATATAAGAAACTGTTTCATCGCTTTTGATTCAATATTGGTAATTAGGCTTGTCTTTCGCACATTCCCAGCAAAAAGGGACTATATCAATTGGATATTTCATGGAATTATTTTGGGGTATTTAAAGATAAGTTTGGACATGAGGGTAGATTATCAGTAGTAACATTGCATCTTTTCCGTTTTCTTAATAGATTACATATGCAAAGACAAATAAAAATATCAGTTTATTCTAATACAACCAGTGTCAAGGTGAAGAGCCCACTGGTGCCCCACAAGATTTTAGAAAAATATTAATGCAATTATATTTTTTTAGTATAGCAGGACTTGTTAGTTTTCATAACTTCTTCAACATGTAATTTTTAAATGCAAATATTTAAAAAGTTCCAGTTGAAGCCATATCCTTTAGAGATAGAGCGCCTCAATATTCTTTGGGTAATCACCTCAGTATTTGCTTATATAAATTCAAGTCACTTAACATCTTATGTAAAGTAAAGTAGTATATCACTCTGAAATTATCAGAAATAGTAACTCTAGATTTAAATATTTCCTAGAGAGAATTGTAGACTGCAGTCTGCTATATTTCCCATCATGTACCCATGAGGTTACTTTCTGGCTGTATGATACTGTAGTTATATCAAGTTCAGAAAGTTTTTTTAATTTGATGAATAGCAGAATTGAAATTCAGTCAAATCTTTTGTGGTGGCTAACTCTCTTAGACAACCTCTTCTGCTGTGTACATTTGAGAATACAAACATCAGTATGGACAATCACTGGTCTGTAAGGCAGCCACTTCCCTAAGGACCAGAATCACGTGGAACTGTGGATATTCATATTACAGGTGATTAATTATAGTGGCATTAAAATAAGTAAAATGAGTCTGGATACATTTTAAGCTAATTATTGATATATAAATAAATCATTTTTGCTCTATAGTGCTGTGAAAATTAACTTGAACTGAATAATCCTTTTGTTGAACTTAATTTCACTGCAAAATTAAACTAGTGTTTGTCAAAGCTAACATGCATCTTCTGCAGTGTTTTTAGTCTTAACAGGAAGTTTTAAAAAACAGTTAGAACAATACATTTTAAATAGCAATTTTTTTGTCTTAGAATAATGAGTTAGGTTATTAAATTTTTTTAGTCTTCGAACAGTATGTGAGGCTATTAAAAATGCTTAGTCTTAGAAAAGTAAGTGAGGCAATTAAAATGTTTTCACTTAAAAATTTAGTTTCAGTTATAAAAAGTAACTTTTAGCAAATGAGATTCTGTTTGGATCTTCAGAAATAGATAAATCCTAAAATCCCCCTCCATATTAATTCTAAAAACTAGTCAACTATATAATGTAATAGAACTGTGGTTTAAGCTGATTTGAATAGTTTTAAGCTGATGTTGAATAAAACTAAAAATCAATGCCAGAATTTGTTATTTACTACCTTGTATGAGGCAAAGGATTAATTGTAATCGCGAAAAATTTCAAGTATCATATTTTATTGGAAATATCCATTTTTACCACTTTCTAAATCCATTTGAACTTTTTTTTTGCATTACTTCTGTATGTACTGTCAGAATAAAGGACTCTTTTTTTTTTTTTTTTTCCAAAACGGATTGTAAAGTGGTTTTAAAATTGATTCAAAAGAGTTATTTTTGTGATGCTTGCATGTATGTATGTATTCATGTATCTTGCATAACTCAAAAACTATTTAGCCGTAGAAAGCTTGTATATTTGCATATGAAACTTCATCTAGTTCTCCACCTCCCTTTTTTGTTGCAATTAGCAATACCAAATATGTATCCAGTGGCATTGATGTTTACCTGCCTTAAAATGCCCTTATCTTTATTTTTGCAACTATTGGGCGTAATCTTATACTTCCAGTTACAGAAGTGTGTTAAATGACGAAAATATTTATGCTTTAGCAACGTCAAATTAAAAAAATTATTTTTGATAATTAATGAAATGTAATTTTTAATGCAGTTTTCTCGTTCCTGTACTTATGTTTGGGAAAGTTTTATACACATTATGAAAAAAATAAATTATTAGTTTCACTTTTGTACAATGAAAACTGACCAGGATATTTGATTTCAAAAATTCACAGTTTTTGATGTCATTTTCTACTTGCCTTGAGGGATCAATTAATTAAGTTAAGAGTAATTCGAGGAAATAAGTTTAAATAAAGTTAAGCCAGAAATGTGTATAATTTAATAGACTATACAAGGAAGTCATGTGATCAGATTTTTTTTTTTTTTTAAATTAACTTATTTTGACTTTGAACATAAATAACTTGGTATGTTGAAATCTTTGTATATTTTCACCCAAAAGTTATGTGAAAAACGCTTTTCACCAGAAGGCTGTAGTTTTTAGAAAAATAGTTATATTTTGAAAAATAATAATGTTTCATAGCATTATTTAAAATGTTTTGTCAGCATCTTTTTCTATTAATATTTCAAATTTCTTTATGAAATAGATTTTGTTACTTAAAAAATTTTTTTTTTAGGTATGCAGAAAGAGCCCTTAGTAAAGTATCATTCCAGATACCAAAAACATACTTTTTATCACCTGAAGTGCAGTCATGTTTGAAAGATTGGAAAGGAGTGCTAATATTTTATTCTCTGAGGTTGATAATTGCACCAATAGTTGAGAGTCTTATTTTATTAGACAGGATGCTTTATTTATATGAACAAGGTGATTTTTTTAATGGTTATTTGATATTTATTACACAACTTATGATGTAAAGTGTTGAATTTGAAATAATTTTGTAATCGTAACTAACCTGTATTTTCGCTCCTTAGGTTATCCAAGCTGCATTGCTCCAATTTTTGATCCATCTATATCACCAAGAAATCATCTACTAATATCTGCTCGGAAAAATTTTATGAGATAATAATTAATACATATTTAGCTTATATAGAGAATGTGGTCATTATAAAAATTCCTTTTATTTTAAAATGTGTCATTGATACTTATTTATTAGCATTTACATATCAGCATTTTAAAACTCTTTTGTTGTATTTGATTTTAGATCTTTTCTATCCTAAATTGCTTTAACTAAACTTATGAAATTTATAAATTTAATAATTTTGCTATCAATTTATTCAAACTGCTCTGCATTGTAGCATGTGTTAAAAAGAGCTTTTAAGCCATGTTTATAAAAAGATAGAACATTGATTTGTTAAGGTAGTGTTAATGTTCAACAGCAGTGATTATGCACTCAGTTAAAATAAGTATTTACTTTCAGCCTTCTTTTGCAATCTTTGGAATTTTAAACTATAGCAACCAAGATTTTATCTTTCTGTATCAAAATTCAATGAGAATCAATGAGAATGAATGAGAATGGTATTGTTTCAAATTAAAAATTTAGTTATCAAATTATCTGTATATCTGAACTTTAATATATGTACTAAATGCAATTTACATATATTGCTACTATTGGAACAACTGTACAGTTTTTTGTATTCTTGTATAGATCAAATTTGACGTGTTAAATTTTTTTAACAAAGGCTCCTGAAGTCATTAATTTTACTTTAGTTATTTTTAATTTTAGATATTATTATACCCAATAATTGTACTTATTAAAGAAAACAAGTTTCATGATTTGCAAACATGTGTGAAGATTATAACTTCAAAAAAGTGTTTTCCACATATTTTTAAATATTAAATCAGCATTTATATAACTAGATAACTGAAATACTCAATTAGTTGCAGTCCGTTCACCCTCTGTATTGCATGCACATTATATATTCATGAAAAATGAATTTTATTCCACATGACAAAAAAAAAAAAAAATATTTAAACAAAAAAATGATGATTCTTTTGAATTTGCATAATTATATACATTATATACTCCACTTCAGGTGTTATTTAATAGTTGAAATAAGGCTGATATATGGTTGAAAACGTTTTCATCTACAATAATGAACTTTTGTTATGGTGGTTTGCACATGTGGCAGATAAATAAAAATAAATTTATTAATTAGTTGCTTCTTCGGGGTGAGATAATCTTATAATAGATCAGTTATTTATTTGTAAAAAATTATATTCATTAAATGTGTTGGGTTTCCAGTCTGTAATACTTAATCTTGCATGTTTATAAAAAAAATATTGTAAGTTTTTTTTTTCATATTTAGACAGTTATCTCATTATTTTGGTTTACTTTTGTAAACTTCCACAAGAATGCAAATTAATTTAAGGTATAAATAAGCATCTTGTTTTAAAGTTTGGTCTGAGAGTGTTTAGCAGCATTTGGCCATTACTTTAGATTTTCTGCTGTTGCTAGTTAGTTTGCTGACCAAATTTTCTGTTTGCCAGAATTTCTTTGTGAACTCTTAGTCAGAGGAGCCACTAGGTTTTGCTACTTTCATTATTCTCGTTGGACTTAACTCATGCAAAGCTTGAACTGTTTGCCTACCCACAAGATAGCAAAGTTTTTTTTTTTTGTATTTTATTTGGGATTTAAACTAAATGCTAGATTGGATGAAAAGTCATGACAGTCTTTTGGCTAATTTGGTGATTTAATGCTTTTAAGTTAATACTGTAACCATATAAGATAAATAAAGAGAACATGTGTGACTATTTTATCTCCAGTCAAAATATTAGGAGCAGTTTGAAGAGTATCCTAATCCCAGACTTGCAATCTCATGAAAATAATTTGTTAAATGAATGTTATATACACTATTCACCACTTATTAAATCACTTCAGTTCCAAATATATATTTGAGTTTAAAAAACTAAATTTAATAGTTTCATATTGCATTATAACTGATATCACAATTTGCAATGCAGAAATAGTTGAACCACTATTTCTGCATTGCAAACTGTGATATCAGTTTTTAACTTTTTACATGAAATAATAACTAATCACTAATTTGTTAATTAATCCTAAAATTAAAATAAAAATTAGTACTAAAATTAAACTATTTATGCAATTTTGAAATTCTTTAAAAAATTTTTTTATAAAAATATTTTGGATGAAATTTTATCTTTTAACTACAACTATTCTATCTGTCTTCGTTTCATACTGTTCAATAAGTTTTACAGTGGTATTCTCAATTTCGTAAATCTGCTGATCACCACATTTCAGTTTAAGATAGTTCTTAGAATTTCCTGTGCCCTTCTAGATTCAATTGATTATGGCATGCCATCACATTGTTTCATATCATGTTCGCTATCCATTTCTGCGAGCCCACCAGCGGCCGAGCGTTAAAATCGCTGAACACTGGTAGTTCGGTCTGAGGTTCGAATCCCGCGAACGGGCTGGCTGCATGGGCGTTTTCGTGGTTTTCCCCATGTGTAACAGTGTAACATGTATACGAGCCAGTTTCTCTTAGAAAGTCCTCCACGAAAGGCATCCCTCCCCTTAGGCAGATAGCCCTAGTGTGCTTTGCCGTATTCTCAATACACACACTATCCATTTCTGCAGTTCTTTTAGCGCTTTCAGAATCATTTTTTATACACGTCTCAATACTGTTGTGAATTGACACATATTTAAAAAATGAATCTTCATAAATTCCCTCACTGATATCTGAAGCATTAGCTATAGCCTGCAGTTCTTCTGAGACTTCTTTTACATACAAAACCACATTTTTGAAATTAATTGTGTTTTTGCAAGATTGACTGTCTGCAGTGGCTTGTATGTATAGCCTCTAGCAAAGATATCAACTTATGTCCTTATCTCCATCAAAATGCTTGCATCTTTATAAAATTTGGTTCTTTTTATATCCTGCTGTCAAGTCTCAATGAAAGAAATACAAATATTTTTCAGAAAGAGATCAGAGATATGTGCACTGCACAATTATCTAATTACTAAAATTATTTTTCATTTTGCAATTCACTATCTCCTTTTAAAAGAAAATCTGTAAAAATACTGTTTGTCATCTACGATTTCTTGTTGCTAAGGTAAATTAAAAGTGAATTCTTGACACTTTTCAAACATAGAAATTTTCTGTTTTTGTAAGTAACCAGTGCTGTTTTCTTCATTGTTGGGTCCATACTGCGCATTGATAATGCAGAAACTTGTTCCTTCCATTTCTTACGCGAACTGCTGTTTCAGGTTGAAATAGTAATTACGAATTTTGTTTTAACTTGCAGTCAAGTTGACTACTTAAAAATTAAGGAGATGCTGGATTAGACTTTTATTTCCAAATTATGAATGTATTTGGTGCTATAAATACAGTGGTATGCAAAATTAAGAACGAGGTGGAGAAACTGTCATAAAAGCGGAACAAATCAATGTATTGAAAGACCAATCAGAAGATAGACTTGGTACTGGTACAGTGCGCTAGGAGAAAGAGGCACCCAGACCTGGTTAGCTTGAGGCTGCCTTAACACAGTTAAATGCACCAACCCTTAGAGGCGATCCAAGGGGTCACTAATCTATCGGTCGAGCCGATGAGCCAAAACTAAACCGAGTTGACAGGCGCATTCAGCAACTCATATTCCACGTTCCCATCCTGGAGGGAATGTAAGAACATCTGCCATCAACAGGGAACCCAATCCCGGGCAACAGAATAAAGTCACTTAAAGACATGCATATACAATGGCACATGGCTTGGGGACTTATAGGAAGAAGGTATAAAGCACACGGACAATGTATGCACTCAAGAATTTGATGGGAAAGCTAGTGCAGGATGTGCAGTGATTTCAACAACGCTGCATAGATAATACCGTGTGACCATAATTTACAGTTGGATTGCCAACGAGCAATCCAGAAGGCATCTGGATGACCACCAGTCTACATGCAGCTGGTCTGGCCATTGTTTTAAGGTTATATAGCCAGACATTAGAAATTAAGAAACTTAATACCAGAGAAACTGGAAAATCTGATGACAGATGTTTAAAACAATATGGAAGTCCTAGAGAAGTAACTGAAGAAATCCTCAATAAAGTCATAAACTGAAAAGACTTGCTCTGCAAATAAATCAGAGAACACATTTGGATGCTAATTCGCAGTTGTTTCACCAAATAATGAATCAGAGCAATGTATCATTCGTATATTATGAGATTAAATAAGGTAAAGCTGGTAAATTCTACCTTAATATAAGGAGGAGGGAAGAAACTAAATCTTACTTGCAGAGTACCCAAAAGAAGGCAAATGAAAATTTTGCAACATTTTTATTAATAGGAGAAGGAGTTCCAGATGTTTAGTGATCGAAGAGAAGAGAAACTGACTCGTATTCATGTTAATCGCACTAAAATGACTATAATACGACATGTCTATGCACGGGCATAGCTAGAGGGAGGCATGGGGTGGCATCTGTCCCCGGGTGCAGAATCCAAGGGGTGCCAAACTGATGTTACGACATTTTAGAATTAAATGTTTCCCATCCTTGGCAAGCAGTAGGGGGCACAAAATCTTCAGTTGTCTCTGGGCGCTGTAAACCCTAGTTACGACTGTGCGTCTATGAGATGTGCGACTTCCAACATTTCTTGTATTCCAGTGTAGGTTTTCGAAGATTAAACTTCAATCTTTTTATTTTAAGTTGTTATGTGCTGATAGCCAAAGTATGTATCTTTTGCTTTGTATCTCTTCCGTTAGAGTTTTATATTTTATTTCGTGAATCAGTGAGCTGGGTTACCTTCCAGATTTTCCAAACTGAATTTTGGAAATGTGGGCGTCACCAAATAATATTAGTTTTTACAGTTTTTTTACTCCCTGTCTATAGAATATTAGCAGCTAAATGTTTTACTGTTATGTATTTCTAGATGAACTGATTCACATATATTTTTTTGGGGAAAAACTTAGTTTAATATTGGGTGACCTTTCTTGTCAAATGTCTGCTCAAACAGGGCATCATTTTCTTTATTTAATGTGAGTAAAAACACAGCATCTCTTTCCCAATAGCATTTAGAAGATGTTATCTCTATTGGAATCTTCCAACAGAGTTGAATGGGCAAGGTGTGTTGAATGGGGAAGAGCTTGTTATACTGACAAACCATGATTTTTCTGCAGA